GTGGAGTCCTTTTAAACCGGCCACCCCCTTTCGACGGCGTATCCATCGGCCAAGCGTCCATTTCCCTCGATACTGCCTGGCAATCCGTAGTGTATCGGCTCGCGTGCTCCACACATACACACACACACACACACACACACACACACACACACACACACACACACACACACACACACACACACACACACACACATACAGGCAGTAGGCGCACCTAATTAAACTTTGCCAGGGTAGAAGAGCACGTTAGACTTTCTCATTCGTTCGGCATCCTTTCTTGCAAGCCGAATCGAACGGAGGCTCGCTCCTTTCCGCGAATTGCGACGAGAAGACGGAATTTTTGAGCTCGTATCCGGAAGACTGATTTTATTCTACCCCCTCACCGCCCCGCCCCCCCCCCCTCCCCCCTTCGCCGAACCGTTCTTTGTCGTTGTTCTCTATTAGAACGGACTGCGGAGGAAGGAAAAATGAATGTTCGAATTCGTCGTGGAGGGACGACGCTCCTCTCGCGGAATTCCTTTTGGTCGACGGGCGTTCGGCCGTTGCATTTGGGGTTGAACTTGGATTTTGAGAGGAGGAGGATGATGGCACGGACGATGAATCGGTGATTAGATTGGAGGAGGGCGGAGATGGAGAGCGGTAAATGGATTTGTGATTAGTATTTAAATCGATGACGACGGTGTCAATATATATATTCGATACTGGAATTTGCAATCTTCTGTAAATAAAAAATATATATATAAAATATAAAATATATATATATATATATATATATATATATATATATTCGATACTGGAATTTGCAATCTTCTGTAAATAAAATATATATATAAAATATAAAATATATATATATATATATATATATATTCGATACTGGAATTTGCAATCTTCTGTAAATATTGTTGCTCCCGAGGACAAATGAATAACTTTAGTTTCCATTGAACTAAATTCTATTAATAGTAGTGTAGTGAAAAGACGCTGAAGTAAAATTTTAGATCGGAACGAATCGAAACCATATTAAACGGTAGCTGAAATTTAGATAAACGAAACAGTACAATAGAAAGAAAAAAAAAAGACAATAAAATGAGACTTGAAATTCGACTGAAATAATTCCAATTAAATAAAGGGCAAGCGACGTAAAATTTTGAGAATGGAATGGTATGTTAGAATAATAAATTAAATAATAGTTTGATAAATTGACCAACAATAAGTTTTCTCTTAAATTTACAGAACTCATTTCTCTATCACACATTGAGAGATTTCTCTCGAAACATTCGCGATCCTTTTGTTTGTCGCGATAACCAGGGCAAAGAACGAGAAACACGGTAACTCGATGATAACAAGAAAATGAAATTTCACCCATTAGGAAAATATAATCGAGCTCTTTCCCGATAGAAATTTTCGAAAATAACTCGCTCGTCTTCCAAGCGAGGATCGATCGATAATAACTGTGAGCTAGAATTTTCGACGGGCATAATCGATTTGGAAAATTCACGCGGAGCGTCCGAAGAAGTCAAGCGATCCACGGGATCAAAATACTGCGAGCTCGACGGGGCTTCGGATTATTCAGAGCGCCTCGATGGCGGTTAGATCGATAAAAAACGGGAACCGATTAATTAATTCAATTATGCCGGATAACGTCGATCTTCCTTCTGTCGCGCGAAATCGCGCGCCACTCCTCTCCCTCTCCCCCCCCCCCTCCCCCGAATTTGAATTTTTGGCGTATATTCCAATGCACGGAATATAATCTCGATTTCTTCTCTACCCATTCGTCGATCGTATAATTTTCGTCGCGAATTTATGCAAATTTTAAACGTTAGAAGAAGCGCGGTCTTTTTGTTCTCTCTCAACCCTTTACACAACTGGAAGCCGCGTGAATTTTTGTTCAAAAGACTTGGAGCTTCGTTTTATATAATTTGTTTAAATATTTCGACAAATGTAATTAACATTAAATGTAATACGAGTAATAATGATATAAATATGAAATATAAAAGATAGTAAATATATTTCCTTAATCTTGTTGCTCTATTTGAGTTTACATATGTATATAACGCGTAGTGAATGTTATATTTCAACGAATATTATTAAAATGTATTTGAAATATTTGGTTTCAACATTCAAATTAATTTTACGATCTCTTTACGTACTGTTTATGAATAAAATATTGCGACATCTGTTTTAAAAGAATCTAAAATAATAAAAATGTGAGAAGAATAGCAGGCTTAAATATTAAACGTTTTATTTACGATACTAATAATTCCAAGCGTCGAAACTGTAATTAATCTACCATTTGAAAGTGAAATAATATTTATATATTTCATAAAAATATACGGAATACTTTATTTCATCTAGAAAGTAGACGATACTTTGATCAAATTCATGTCACAGTAATCGTGGTACGATCGATAAAGAAATAATTATACTTGAACAGAAAAATAAATGAGAGATACAGAGGATAATTTTCTCATACGATGCTCTTTCGTTCTCGAGAAGATCGAGTTCAAAGACAAATACTATCATTCGCATGATATATGAATGGCTGAGAAACTAATCAGTGTAAGTTACTTTTTATTAAAATTAATCTTGTACTGTGCAAAATACTTGACGAAACTTTTCAATTGACAGTCGTTATAACATGATTACTGTAACATAATTATTGTGATGCAACAATTAAACTGTTTCGACCGAAAGTTTTGTCAGCAAAAGTATGTTTCCATGGCACAGATTATTTTTGACTAAACCACTGAGTTAAGTATATGTAAATTTAATTAATTCCCAATTGCTGAACAATCAACAGAAAGTTATTCCATTATTAAAAAAATAAATCAAAAATAAAAAAGGAAATTCTCTTTGCGTCAAATCTTGTTTTCGAAGGTATACCATTTTATCGGAAATAAAATTTTTTCGAAAATAAAGCCAACCATTTCAAACAAATCTTACTTTCGATTTATTTTTACGTATAAAATAATCTCTTGCTGAATGCTGTCCAGTCAGGGATTAATGAAATTTATCTATATTTGACAAGTCCTCAAATTTGACCTTTTCTGAAAATGAAATGTCACATGAGAAAATGTCATCCTGTATTTTCTACTTAATTTTTCATGTAGAATTACTAAGATATGTATGACTACAGACCAATTCCCTATTAATTTTATTATTAATTTGAAATTAATACTGTAGATATCCATTTATTTTAGCGCATTTTTAACGAAAGAATTTTAAACGATAACGCAGAATTTTAATTTTCTAATACTTGGATTTGATGAAGCCATCAGCCCAAAACTTTCTTTAAAATTATCCTTGACACTGAAAGTCATGGTCAAATTTTATTTCATCAATATTCGACTTTTTCCATCATTGTCACCGAAATATTCTAATTAAACAATTATTCTAAGTAACACGTTAATACACGAACGAGAAATGAAATATACTTTTGCAAACGAAAATCGCTAAAGTTATTAAATCTATAAAAGACGAATTGTTATAATTTCAAGTGATTGTATACATATGAAAAGACTGTAGACGATACAAATGACTTCAAAATAAAATAAAATAAGAAATTTAAAAATAATAAAATATGTTTTCTTCATTCTCAAAGACGCAAAGAGCAATATATTATTCGTTCTTGTCATTTTATGCATTTTCGTATTGCATAAAAGTGAGATATTGCATTTTTTCGTTATCAATACGTAGAATGGTCTCCTTTTTCCTTTTTCACGTACAATAGACATTTTCATACTTTGACATTTCGTGAATTTAAAATTGAATGCACGTTTTGATAAAAGCATTAATATATCAGCAGCATATAAATGCTTTCTTTATCACAGAAATGCATCTTTGCGTCACTATATACTGTAATGCTTAATCTTTTTCAACTCTATAGCTAAAGAAATAATCACTTTAGGACTTTTGAATCGGGACTTTTGTATCTATGTGTGTACGTATTTCCACTTTTGTCATCGACAAACCATCGAAATATTAAATCTTCTATAATATAATATATACAAATGAAATATATACAAATAAATTTTTAAATATGTTCTCTACATATATGAAATTTGAAAAAAATGTTTCAATTTCATTTCGTAATATGACTAAGAATAGCTCCATAGTGGAGATTTGTTAGAATCGGAAGAATGAAACTTCATTGAAAGAAAGAGTTATATATTGCAAAATATCAGAAAATAGAAATTCCATTTGGTCACAAGAATGGAGCAAACAGCTCGTTCGTCTGAACCCAAATTACGCTAGTTAATTTCTAATTAAACGACATTCACATTAGTCTTTCTCAACGAAACGAATCTCAGTTATTATTCAATGACCGTTCCAACGATTAGGAAACTTAATTAGACCGAAAAAGTCTGTGTGATTGATGTGCGTGTCAAATAAAAGAAAAAAAAAAAAAAAAAAAAACAAAGAAGCCAATGAAAATCAAAAAAGAAACGAATGAGAACGATATGCCTTGGTTCCCCCAAAAGAATTTTCACGCGACGCGAGGTATCAACCTCCCCCCTCGATAAAACGCTCGATCAAGCATCGTGAGAATCTACTTTTAAAATGGCTGAATAATCTGTCTAAAAGGGTTCTAAAGTGGCTATGCTAAAGATGTGATCGTTGATCTAGCTTTCAGGGTTGTTAGAAACATACAAGAGGATAGAATTGATCGTGAGAGAAAAGTACCAGATCTTTAGGAACGACTCGACATTGGAATAAAACTGTGATTTGGACAAAATCTTAGTAATGGAAATTTGCAGCTTCTAAGGTACTATGACAGAGTATTACAAGTGGTTCCTACGTTCTTTTCTTTTTTTTTTTTAAACAAAATACGTCTACTTCGTTGGAGGGTAGATTACGATGTACAATAATACAAAGATCCAATTTCTCGACGATGAAAGAACGTTTCTTTTGAGATAATACGTTTTTTATATACACTATCGTTTTCTCTGGACGACGGAGGACGCGCAATTGAAGTAAAATATTAAAGTGATGTATTTTGATATTACCATATGAGTTGTGAAACTGTTGATGATGAGACTCGAGACCGGTTCCTGGGTGGTGGATATCCAGCATGGCATCCGGCTCGCCTCCGCTCTCAGAGCAGTTGCTCAGGGCTAAAACCAAACCGATAGACACACACCTTGCGTTTAAGCTTCAAATCAGTTTGCGTTGGTGACGATCCGCCATAGCGCGGAATACCCTCGCCTTATAATTTCTTTCGCGTCTCGCGCTTTGATTCTCGACGCCTTCCTCTCCCCTTCGTTGCTCTTTCATTGTCCGATCAAGATTAAAAAAGTCAAATCTGAACTTCGAACTGCCGTCATCGAACTTTCGAGGTGCTGAAATTTTTGCGTTGCATTTCGAATTTCACAGAATTTTTCTCTCGGATACGATCGAAAACTCCGAATGTTCAGGCGTGAGAGACTTCAAATTTTCGAACTGCTTCGAACGTTCGAAACTTCGAACGCTTGGACGTTTGAAACGTCAAATTCTCAGGCATTTTCAAACATCCAAATTTCGAATCTTCCGAACGTCGGGAATTTGAAAAACATTTCGAACTTTCAAATTCTCAAAGTTCCTGAACTTTCGAGTCTTCGAGCATGCGCAGAGGTTTCCCGAACCTCTGGATTCTTAAACGCTCGAAATTTCAAACTCTACGTGCATTCAGTCACTGAAAGAACAAACACGCGGTTCGAAACTTCAGCAAAGATTAATGAAAACACTAGGATTCAGATTTTCAATTTGTCGAGCATCAGGGTGCATGTAGGGTGAAGGGGTGAGACGACGAAAATCATTGAATGCGGCGCAGCGCGATCGTTTCGTTTCTCTCTCGTTTGCGATCGTTCTTTCACCCGTGGTACGTGACTTCGTTCTCCGTTTCCTTGTTTCGAACAAACTGAAGAAAATCGGCAAAAGAGACAAAACGTGCCGAGAAAGAAATCATAAAACACAAAGCAGGGGGTATGTCGCGCGTATACGCTCAACTTATCGATACAAACTAAATCGTTTGGCCGATCGAGGGCGTCTTCGAAGCATAATTCCATTATATATCGTTGGCTTACAATCATAGAATCGTGAGACATCGTTCTTAAAAAAAAAAAAAAAGAAAAAAAATCTATGCTCTCTTAATCGCTGCAAAAGATCCTTTCATTTTCGCACTTCTCTCTTATACTTCGAGAATTTCCAAAAATTTCATGGTCGCTTATGGCAGTAACCGATGAACCCCAACTTCGAAGACACCATCCTTGCCAAAAAATAGTTTACTGTGAAACCGAGGGAAAAGAAAGACCAAAAATAAGAAAATCAATAAAAATAAATAAATGCAAACAACAGAACGCAATAGAGTGGCAAAGAGAAACGAATAGAAAAAAAAAAAAAACTAGAATGGGACGGTGGTGCGGCAAAGGATAGTAAATAGAGTCTCTGTCGAGAAAGACGACCGGAAGCGGGAGAGAGGAAATGGGTGGTGGGTGGGGGGGCGGTGGAAGGTGTTGGCGGGCAAACTGAAAGGAAAAGTCGACGAAAGAAACGCGGAACGAAACCATTGCCGAGAATCGCGAAAACCGTGGATCGATTCGTGGTGCGTGTCTTTGTCTATCTGTTTGGCTGGCTCGAGACGAACAGGCTCGTTCGGAAAAACGTGTCCCCCGGACTGTTTGGGACTCGATGAACCCCGCGAGATATCGATTTCACGCTCGACGCCTCGCGACCAAGCGTGTTCCTTTACGACTTTTTTCGTCTTTTTTTCGACTTCTCTTTCTCTCTCTCTCTTTCCGTCTTTTTTTCCGTTTTACTTCTGGAGAATCTTCTGGGACCTTGTTCCGCTGCGATCTTCCGTGGAGACTTCCGATCTTCGGGGCGACGACCGGGCGGGGAGGACATTCGCGAGTATTTTCACGCTGTGGTTTATTTCGTGGAGTGTTGGGTGAGGGAGTGGGTTGTGGCGGTCTCGAAGAAGAGAAATTGAAATTTTCTCATTTAACGTGGAATTGGAGGAAACTTGAAATTGTAAAGATTTCGCGATTTCATTGGCACGACGATACTGAAAGAAAGAACGAGGGGAAGAAATTGTTTTCGAGAGATCGTAAACGTTTGTAAACGTCAAGGAATTTGAAATTATAAAAATTGACGATTCAATTTTACGGAGTATTCGATTTCGTAGTGAAGTAATATTAAAAGAAGAAAATGATCGTCAAAAGGAAAGAAAGTGTAAACTCCTTAATATTCATGCTCTGCTTGAAAAATATTTCACAAGTCTAGAAAACCAAAGAATTTAGAGAAATACATTTGGAATGCCAAGGGATTGATTCAAAAGATTTGTAATTTAGTTACAAAGTGTTCAATTGTATGTGCGATATCATGATCAGAAGAAGAATCGGAAAGAAATTCGTGATTATTTTTTACAATTTCAATTGAATAACCCTTTAGAAATCCCTTTGAAATATCAACAGATTAACTTGTCATTTAATTAGAAAGTAATAAAAGGATTGGCGATTGATTCGAAGAAGAGGAATTTTATTAATTTTGGCTGAGAAACTTTTCTTTGGAATTCCGACTAGATTTATAAATTGCAAAGAATCGTAATTCGATATATTTCAAAGAAAGGAATTTTCTAACACTCGACTGCACGATTATCATCAAAAATGTAGAGAAAGGAAACTACGTTGAATAACAGAATTTTATCTGTCTGTTGATTTTGTTTCAAATAAATCAACAATCCGCAATCTTGACACGTTCCAAATCCTAAACTGATATCATAGGATCACAGATGCGCAGTATTATTGTACAAAACTTCGCAACGTTCAATTCCATTCTAGCTTGAAAACTTTGCAATGTCCATTGATACCAGCTAGGGATTAATTGACGAAGATTCGATCATCCTCCTATTGTCAGTTGGCAGAGATTGAAGTTGTCCCTCCAAGGGATGATTCTTTTCAAGTAATATCTCTAGCAGCAGTCGACGACAATGGTAATTGTGATTCCAAGCGAATTCCAAACGATAAATTTCAAAACGAAGTGTATTATATATCTCCATTTCGAGAAGCGCGTTTTCAAGTCACCCTTCGTCAAGTTCCTCCGTCTCAGACGGGATTGAAATACGCTCGGTTCCCAACCGCGTCTTCGACAAATATACCGAACAGTTTCACCAACCGGTTTCGAATGATCATTCGAATATACGACTGTACAATACAAAGTTATAAATTATTCCTAGGCCTGGCCGACGCGACATTGGGAACTAGGGATGAAGAAACCCTCTGCACGGGAAAGAGCGATCGTGCGATCATGTTCTTTTGCCTCAGTGTTCTTTTAAACTCATCGAATCGTTCTAACTAGACTGTGGATTCTTATACAAATTCAGACTTTCCTTGTTCGTTGAATATTATGATTTACATGTCTTATTTTATATACTTTTTATACTTTTCATTTCATATATTTATTTTTTTATATATATATATTTTTTATTATTTATATATATATTTTTTTGTTATTTGTATATTTTATTTATTATTTATATATATATTTTTTTATTTTATATATTTTATATATTTTTATATATTCATTATATGTTTATTAGACGCATAATTTAAAAGTTATTTCAGGTGTGCAAGTTACGTGAATCACCCTGTATATGTTCACATATATTATCCAAATTCTGTTTTATTGCAACGTAATTGATAATATAGTTAACTGTAGTTATATATTTTAAATATATAATTTTCTTTTAATTCGATGGATCATTAAATTTACCATAAATGAATAAAAAAAATCTAGCTCAGTTAAATAGAACAGTCAAAGAAATAAGGATCTTTAGATTATTGTGAAAATTTGAGACAACAAGACTCAATTCGTGATGGTTGCAATCAAATGACGTGATAAAATTCAAATTTTGTTTACAAACGTAGTAGAAGCAGAATCGTTTAAAGTTGTCAGAAGGTTTTTTTAAAATTATTATAATGAACGTTGGAGCAAATTCGCATCTTTACGAATAACATTAAGAAAATGAAATTCAAATGAAGATTTGTTTTAAAATATTGTACATCGACTTTAATTTTCACATTTTGTACATTTCTATATAATACGAACATTTTATATATTTTTACAAATTTGTACAATGCATAGACGTTTGGACATTTACAACAATAATTGTCAATCATTTCAATGAAATCGTTTAATACCTTTCTTAAATAATTAAAATTGTATTTCCACAAAACAGGAAAGCATTTGAATTTGAAACTGTTAGTAATACTGTAATGACGTCATTACAATTATTAATTTCGTAAATAGGCGTAACAATCCATTAATTCCCTTAAACACTAGTCGTGCAATATTGGCGTGCGCAAAGGCTAAAGCTGTTCCACCCGAAATTAATTATTTTCACTCGCTTCGATTTTTTTTGGGATTGCAGACATTTTAGAAGAAATATATCTCTCACTCAGATTAATATTAATCTTCCAGTCAATTCTCTTTCAATTTTATCTCATATTTTTATACGTTCGTCCCGCGTTCTAAAATAAAACGAGAATAAACGTTACTGGAAACGTTAGATAGATTCCAAGATACCGAAGACACTTGGTTCGCAAGAAGACTGATGCACACGTAAGTGAGAAACTTCCAAAGAGTTCAAGGAAAGAGACCACGAGAAACGAAAGCATCCTGAACCGAATGCCCGACCGGAGAGTGAATCCTCTCGAAACCGTCGTCGTTTCGATGGATCGTCATAAACAATTTCCATCGTGGGTACTCGAACGAAGAAAACCACCACCCGAGAACCACGACGAGAGTTCCCGAGGGAGCGGAAGAGGGAAGGAGTTACGACTGACAAGTTCGAGTCTCGATCTCGACGTTGAATAACACCCATCAGCGGGCTGGTAAATCCACGCGAAACGCGGCGCGAAGTAATCATTAACCGTGTGCGCGCGTGTTAACGCGAAACGGAAGGAGAACGAGCCGTTGCCGCAGAAAGGGTTGAGGGTCGGACGCGAGTTTTTCTTCTCCTTTTTTCCCTCTTTCTCTCTCTTTCTCTCTGCCGTTCCTCTCTCGCCGCCCCTTATTCCTCCTCTCTGTCGCTCTTCCAGTTTTCGCCCCTTCGCGAAGAATCATCCCCCTTCCACGTTGCTGGTACCAGCCTGTACATACGCGAGTCACGTACGTAACAGTAGCAGACTGACATGTATGTCTCGTAACAGTAAGCCGGTTCCCACTGAGAACCCTGTTACGCTACGTCTACGTGCTGGAAAAGAGGGTAGAAAGCGAGAGACAGTGAGAAAGAGCGAGAGAGAAAGAGAGAGAGAGAGAGAGTAACGAAGAGCTGCTAGAGCCTCGTGTGTGTTCGTTTTCTCTCTCTCTCTCTCTCTCTTTTTCTCTCTCTCTCTTTCTCTCTGTTCGTGTACACGTGTACCAAGTGCGAGCAAGAGAGAAAGAGAGACTTCGTGTGATACGTGTTCCGTGTGGTGTACATAGACGTATACCGCATGCATGACGTGGAGGATGAGTCAGCTTATAGAAGCAGTTTTCAGGGAGAATTCATCACGAAACTTTCCGGAAATATTTGTCCTTTTTTTTTTTTTCTCCTAGTACCGCGGGCTTTTTCTTCTACGTTCAACCCTTGTGACAGGAGATTCGACGAGGTTCGTCGCGAACTCGACTACTTCGTTAGCCGGCTACTTCGAACAGATTTCACAGACGCTTTGAAAGATATTTTGCGTAGTGATCTTCTCTTTCGTGCCTCGTATTCTTGTCATTAATCGTCAGGAAAAATAAAAATTTAATTATGTTGACGCTTCGTTCGTCGATTTTTCACAGAAATCGTTTTAGATTCGCAACGCTGTGGAAGTTTGAATAATTTTTTCGTATAGTGCATGAATAAAATAGTGTGTTCTTTGTTCTATTACAAACTTTTTACTTTCATTTCTTTTATATAAGTTTTGTACTTCAATCAATGAGTAATTTTAATATTAATATATTTTTATTTCAATACACGTGTATTTCAGTATAACACGTTCAACAAACTTTCTAATATAACTCGTATATTAGAAAATACACTACAAGATTGAAACACAAATATATTAAAACATATATATATATATATATATATATATATATATATATATATATATATATATTTCCTATAAAAACACATTTTTATACTACGTTTAGGATCATTCAATGAACGACACGATAATATTTTCACAACAACAGATCTATCAACTAACAACAATTTCATTCGAAAATAACAACTGTATTGTTACATCATTATCCAACTATTATATATCATTATAATAGAATTTGCCAGATGTCTGATTAATGAACGAGAATATAGTATGTAATTCGATTATTGTCGAAGATTCTACCTGCATGATGGATAATATTTCGTAACTACAGCCGACCAAAATTATCGCACGAGGATATTCCATTTTCATTAGAGACATAAAATCCTCTCGCGAACACATTGAGAAATGTGAATATTTCGAAATGAATTTTTCAAATTCTGAAGAGAAAAAAGATCCTAGTAACCTAGTTCGTTACACGGTGGTTACTTTGGGACGTTGAAACGAAGATTGTGATTCGCAGATGAAACGTGGCAATCATCGGAAGGCGGTGGCACTTTTCTTTCTTTTCTTTTTCTTTTTTTTTTTTTCTCTCCTTTGGTTCGACACGAAAGAATTCTTGTTAACGTTTACCGAGCAGCCGTCGTTCGAAGAGACCGGGCTTATCGTAAAACATACCAGTGTCGCCTTTCGTTTATCAACGACCTGAGTGAAGTTTAATTCGAGCCGCGCTTTCAGCGACCACGACAATGCATTCGCGAGAACGCGACGCGAAAATCAACTGTTCGCTGAAGGGACAAATACGCCGCCGCTCTTTTCGCTCCGGCGTTTAGAGAGCTACTTTGACTACAAGCAAACATACTCGAGGAAAGTTTCTCGATAGTGATTAACTTGCCGACTGATTAATTCTACGAATCATTTATATCCCTCTATCTGTATCTGTTTATGCGTAAATGTCGAAAGATGGACAGAACTTAACGAAATTTCGACACAGAATTTTTAATTGATTGCGTTTTTTAAGAAGTTTGATTTAAAGATCAAAAATAGACGTATAACTTAATAGGTAGATACAATGTGATAAAGATAAATCGAACGAGAGAATTTTTTTCAATATCACTCGCGTACGAATTTCAATCGTGCAAATCAATTTTGTCCTTTTGGAAGTAAAAAATTTTAATTGAAAGTAAAAGAATTTAATCCTATTTCGCTATGAATTGTAACGAAATATCATATGAGTTCGCTGATCGATTCATATCAATTTTATGAATTTCAACAAGAACCAGGGAAACATTAAAATAAAATAATTAAAATATATTAATAAAACATTAAAATAAAACATTAAATTGAAATAAAAGTTGAACTGCAATCAGAATATAAATTGTGCGTATGCTCGAATCAGAAATAGACAATTATAGCATTTGTACTACAACACAATTCGCAATTTTGTAAAATGAGGGACAATTTTTATAATTGTTTAATTTTTTCATTCCAATTAAATATTGTAACAAAACTAAGAAGATGATTTAATTATCGCCAAGTGGTAATTGTAACGAAAATCATAAAAATTCAGCAGAACTATGAATTGCAATAATTCCTAATCAAAAACATTGGAGGAATCATTGGAATGCCCTAATCGAAATAAAACCTCCAACTACAACTCGGTAATTCAATCGATCAACAAAATGATCAGTCGCTGTTTTTAACAACTATGAAGTAGCGAACTATGATCCAATTTGGACATTTGCAAAGTGTTCCTCTTTTAAAATTGTATTCCTCAATTTGATAATGAGAATCAAATTTCATAGAAAAAATTTAAAGATACACGTTATACGCAAAATTATGTAATATCTATAGATCAGAGTACATATTGTAATACTTGTTGTTAGTAACATGAAACATTCAGGTTTAAGTAATTTTTCTGAAACAACGTTTGAGAAGGATCTAAAATTGCAAAGATCTGCAGAAACGCCCTGACCGAAATTCAACCTTTTTCTTTCCCTTTTCGACAATTGCAAACTCTCTAATTATGTCTCTACGAACATTTTTTTTACAAATATATAAATACAAAATTTTTTTTCAGAATCTAAATTTGTAATCTCCGCTCTACAATGACTCTCTGAAACTTGAGATGCTTTTCTACTTTCTTAGATATATTTTATAAAAATATTGCAAATGAGAAATTTGCGGCAGAATTCTAAAAACAGAGTCTTTGAATTATACTGCGTTGAGAAACACGAAATGTTGCACGACGTTTTATTATGAAAGTTCAAAGATCGACAATTTTTCGGTTGCAATTAAGGGGTTAAGACAGTTTGAAATTTTCAAAAAATCGATTTTTTTTCGTCTTAAATAATAGTTTGAAGTCTTAGAAATGCAAAAGTATAAATAAGATACAAATCATGCACATCGACAGGCAATACAAAAAAAAGTTATGTAAAAGGATGCCGTTAAAAAGTTATAAGATCCCTCTTTTTTCCTCTTTTCATGTTGCATTTTATAGTTCATAGTGTGTTAAAATAAACCACAAAAGCTCATGTGAATCAAATATGTACTTTACCAACTCTCCAAACTGTCCTGCCCCCTTAAATTAATTGTATAAAGTACAATTGTATAAGGTAGTGTATATCTATAATAATAGATAATTGTATAAAGTTGTGTATATCTATAACAATAGATAATTGTATAATTGTATAAAGTAGTGTATATCTATAATAATAGATAATTGTACAAAGTATTGTATATCTATAATAATAGACAATTGTATAAAGTAGTGTATATCTATAATAATAGATAATTGTACAAAGTATTGTATATCTGTAATAATAGACAATTGTATAAAGTAGTGTATATCTATAATAATAGATAATTGTATAAAGTATTGTATATCTATAATAATAGACAATTGCATAAAGTAGTGTATATCTATAACAATAGATAATTGTATAATTGTATAATAAATAATTGTATAAAGTAATGTATATCTATAATAATAGATAATTGTACAAAGTATTGTATATCTATAATAATAGACCATTGTATTAAGTAGTGTATATCTATAACAATGGATAATTGTATAATTGTATAATAGATAATTGTATAAAGTAATCTATATCTATAATAATAGATAATTGTACAAAGTATTGTATGTCTGTAATAATAGACAATTGTATAAAGTAGTGCATATTTATAATAATAGATAATTGTACAAAGTATTGTATATCTGTAATAATAGACAATTGTATAAAGTAGTGTATATCTATAACAATGGATAATTGTATAATTGTATAAAGTAGTGTATATCTATAATAATAGATAATTGTACAAAGTATTGTATATCCGTAATAATAGACAATTGTATAAAGTAGTGTATATCTATAATAATAGATAATTGTACAAAGCAGTGTATATCTGTATTAACAGACAATTGCATAAAGTAGTGTATACCTATAATAATGATAATTATACAAAGCAGTGTATATCTATAATATGAAGTAGACGAACTGGCAAAGCCGAAAATTCGTCGTTCACAAGGAGCTCCTCTTTCAAAATTCAATTCTCCTGTTTGATAATCGGCCGGGTGAGATATAAAAGGCGAGACGAGGGTCGAAGGTCAGGATTTTCCTAGACGATCTACAACGTAGACCGACGTAACAGCTGTTCCAGGAAAGGTGTTCGCCAACGTGACATCTGCACCTTGATGCCCCCTTTACCCCTCGTGTTCGTGGCTGCCATTCGCCGCCTATTTACCGAACAGCCTTTTCTTTCGATCGGCCGGCATCCGAAAACAAACTCGCTCGAGCAGGAGGCGATTGCGGCGCGTGAAGAAAAAAAAAAAAAATCGATTTTCCCACGGAAGATCGATGCGCGATGCACTCGACGGTCAAGGCAATTTCCATCGATCGATCTCCAGCGGCTCTGCCCTCGTGCCCGCGATGTTGCTTCCTCGAATTGCAGAATCGTCGATCGATGGTTTTGAAATGTAAAATTGGATGGGAAGGTGGACACTGCGGTTTCGCTTTGCAAACGAAACATCGACATCGTTAGAGGAAAAAGAAAAACTATCGTCGTGTTCTCGATCTTTGAATAATACCGATCTACGGGGAATTATTTTTCAGAGGAGGAATCGAAGCCACGAGCTTCGTCGAGGAATACCTCTGACCTTTTGTTTAAAAGGATCGCTTTGACAGATATAGACCGAGGTAAAATTTATGGTGTAACGGGATAATCCTTCGCGCGAAGTTAAACAGAGGATTGAAGGTGATGTCGCCGGTTTTCTAGGTGGATGACGCGTTGAGGGAAAAAAAAAAAAAAAAGGGGGGAATTGTCAGTTTCAGAGACGTTAACCTACTCGACGTTAACCCTGTGAATGAGAGTTATACTTTTGAGGACGAGAGTTTTTCGTTCTTGATTATCTGATAATATGCCACGCACGTCGAGATTATTTGCTCAAAATTGCAATATTTTCTGAGTTTCAAGTATATTGAAATATAGGGCAAAACTATACTAGGCCTAGGGCAAAACAAGTAATAAATTTATTATTTCTCAGTAATTTCTATCCAATGATATACCGATGAATTAAGACAAAAAAAGAGACAAGTTATATACGGTTTGGTCACTCGTTATGGTCCGTGAAACAGTTACTAGTACAAGATGTTAATAGAGACGTTTGAATATAAAGGAAAGACCAATACCATTGTATTGCATTGTATACTAATGTCAAAGTAAAGTTGAACAATTTATCAAGTTACCATGGTAAATTTTAAAATTTATAAATTTATTCTATGACGTATTCCGTGAGAATGCATAAAAATTCGCACTCTTGCTACATCTTCGACTGACACTCGCCTTGTTTGTCTATATAGGGTGGTCACTGAAAGACAGAAATAACTTTCACAAACACATGTTTGTAAAACATATCATTTCATTTTGAAGTATAATTAGTGGATTTTTTTTTTCTATAACCAACAAAAAAATAAAAAAAAAGGTGCAAAATGAACAAGTTGTGACTTTTTCAAACCCTTCAGTTTTTCAGCGGCCACGAGAAATCTTGCCAGCGGCAACGTAATCATTGACGAAGCAAAAAGTCCAGTCGAAATTTTGTTTCATGGGAACAGTATCCACGGGAAGCCGGGGCACAGGATGTCCCGTGGAAACGACGGCCGATAAGCAATTTAAGACGTGCGAAATTCGTTCGCCGTGCGACAGCGTGCGTGTACACGCACGGATCGCACATGCGAGCGCGCGTATGGCTTCCTCGGGCGATCGGTGTCCCGTTTCCCCGGCGCGTGCTGCGACCAACACCTGGAAACCGTTTCCACCTTCCTCCTGCGGGATCGCTCCGACCCCCATGTTCACTCGACAGTTTTGTCGCTGGCTAAAATCGTAACGAAAAATTGGACGAATTCGGTCAGACAAAGTTAGCGAGGTGTGGAGTAGGTCGTGTGAATTAGAAATGAAATTGTTACGCCAATTTCCGATATTTTGCAAGTGGAATGACGCTTGAAGAGAAAAAACTTTTCTCGTTTTAATCGTTTCAGCGTGTGTGTTGAATTCACTATGAATGAACGCAACGATCCTTGCTCAGTGATTTTTTTTTCTTCTTTAGATCTTTAAATAATTAGCAGAATGCGAATTTCGATGCGAATTCACTTTCATTTTCTTTTTAATGTAATTAGATGAACTTGGAGAGTGGTTTCATTCGCTGTTAGTATAACGTAATGTTATACTTTGGATATTTTATACATTCTTGCATACTGCCTTATACATTTGAATGAAATTTTCTTGAACTCTTAAATTTTTCAAAGTTTATTATAATCCAGAAAAATTCGTAATCTAATAAGTATATAAGTAGTCAACAAAAGTATATATATATATATTTTTTTATTTATATATATTATATATATTTAATATATATATATTTATTATTTTATTAATAAAAGTATATTATAAATATATATAAATATTATATTGTATATATGTAATATATATAAAATTATATATATATTTTATATACATTATAAATATATATATATTATATTATAAATTTAAATATATATATATTATTTATATATGTATATTATATATATATAATGTATGTATTATACAGCCACTAATGAAAATTTACATATGTACATCTACAAATCCCAAATATTTAAAAGGAAATAACAACAGGTCTTTCATTTGTTTAATAAAGAACACAAATCACAATAAAAAATCACCAGACCTACATGTGTTTTTGTTGCTGTTATAACTATAATCAGAATATATTTTACTAAAATCGTGCTTTCAGTTTATTTATATACTTTTTTAAACAAACATATCTAATTTTGGAGGACCAGAGTTCCATAAAGTGTCCAAAATTTTCTTTTCCCTCGAAATTTACTATATAACACTAATTATATGAAATATTTTTAAATTTCATTAATATTACAATTACACACGACTGTCGTGCTAAAATCTGAAAATTTATGCGAACATGTAACATCGTACGTGCCATAAATAGCCAGCTTGAACAGAGAATAAGCGTTAAATATTAATATTATTAACTGTTACTTTTGTAATTTCTAAAATACGTATTTGCTATTGTGTATCTTCTGTATACATTTTCAGATTTGTATCTCTTAATATAATATCACGACAGTCAAATCTTCGTTACAGCACCAATGATATTTCAAAATATTTTATGTAACACATTTATAAAACCTTCTTTCAATTGTTCAAATGTTCAGCTTGTTATTCTTAAAAAAAAAAAAAAAAAACTTGTAATTCTTCTAAATCAACGTGCTTCAAATGCTCGTGTCTGAAATTCACATTCTCTCGTTTCAACGAACAAACAGATGTCTCGAAGCAGTCGAATCTTAAAACTGAAGAAACTTTGGAACTCTTAAACGAAAAGATTGCATTTAAAACGATTCAAAAAGGCTCGAATATGTAAACGTATTTTCTTCTTGGACAAAGACACGAACAACGGGACTTGCCTTTCGCCATGAAATTTATATTTTAGCCACGCGACCTTCAAGGCACACTTCAAAGTTGTGCCCCCCATTGTAAAATTGTCGAGTTTCATGGGGAAAAAAAAATCCCACGATAATCGAGGAACGTCCGGTTTTCGACGTCTTCG